TGTATCCAGCAGATGAGAATAATAGATGTTGGCTCTATCATTTTTAGAAACACTTGATTTATTGCTTTAGGATAGACTACTAGTGGTTTACCACACGCTGTCCTAATTTTCTCACTATGGGAGTAGGTAGGAGTTGATTTTTGTGTGGATGAGGAGAGGATTGAACCTCTAAAACCTATTGGGTCTGCCAATATAAAGACTTATGAATTTCATGTTGGATGGAGATCTGAAAGTAGGGCCAGGGATATTCCTTCTACTTCATGTACTACTTCTAATACTCCTACTAACCAAGAACTTTTGGAGTAGATGATGATCCAACAGAGAGATATCTTGAGAATGGAAAGTAGAATGAAAAATATGGAGTCCAGGAATGAACACAATGATGATTTGATACGATAAAAGTTTGAATATGATGCTGCTTATGATGATGTAATGATTAGATAAAAGAGGGGATAGACTAAAAATCCCTAATTCAATCTTAGTGTTTAAAAACTAAAGCGAGAGTTAGCCTTCAGGGGAAGGCAAGTGAGAGCTCTAAAGTAGGAGCCAGTATCCTCATAGCCTAGCCATAGATTTAGGGACTAAACCTAAGATTAGTCAATAAATTTCTATAACACTGAATCAGAGCAGAGAATTAAAATTGCTCATTTTTTGTGCAATACAAATTTAAAGCAATTATTTCATTTCATTTTACTAAAAACTCATTGTAGCGAGACAGATGCTTTTCCATATTAGAAAATTTCATCATATAAACATAATTTACTAGTTACTAATTTAAAATCTACAATGAAATTCTACTTGTAGTTAATAATTTAGTTTTGATATAATTTAAACCTTACTCGTGGGATCAATATTTGGGACTTAAATATAAATTCTTCTATTACTTAATAATAATACATATACATATACTTGCGTAGAATCCGAACATTAAGTGCTTAACATTATTATTCATAAAATACAACATTAAATTTTTGGCACCGTTGAAAAGCGGAAGTCAACTTTATAAATTTTACACAGCTATATTCAAACGGGATCAATTCTCTAATCTAAAACCCCCTTATTGGTGATTGGATAATAAGGCATGATCTTAATAAAGAATTGAATTTCACCTAATTTAATATTTAATCATTGTAGGTTCACTTTAAATATTAGACCCTAAGGGCTTAGTAGTGCACTAGGCTCAAAACTAGACTCAATTTGAATTTGTCTAATGAGGATTAGAAAAGAAAACATAATTAATTATAAAAATTTTTGAAAACGCTACGGGCCCAGCTTTACCTGTGGGCATGAGATCCTTAATAGCTTATGCTTGTTCTAAAGGCACTTATTCACATAACTATTAAATGAAACATCAACTGATCAATTCTTTACTTTCGCATGAGATAATTAAAATATCAGGTTCACTCAGCATAGGGTGTATTAATTCATTTAATTTATTCGAAACTAAATTTAAAATTTGGGATGATCATCGAACAACATAATAGGTACAAATGAACTCAAATATCTTGAAGGGATTTAAAGGTTGTTAAGGATTGCTCCCCAAAAACTTTTATAACCTTTTAGATAATTTAAAGGACAATTGGACTTATTATTCTTTGCTAAAAAAATCATCTACTAAGACCTTTAAGGACCGTCAAGTCATGACTTGGGGTTTGGTAACTTCACCATCAACTGCTCTTCTTGTTTTATGTTCCTGCAAAATCATATAGATATTGAAAAAGCTAGTTTTTCAAAGAGAGTAACGGGAAGATGATAGGTACGCCTTTACAGTTTTTTTTGTCATTTAATTTACTGCAATTTACTCTTGCTTTAAAATATTATATATGGTTGGTTGAAGATCTTACTTCACCTGCAAAACAAAACCAATTTCAAAAAATTAATCAACACTTTCCAAAATTAAATTAAATAGTTTCAAAGGTAACCATAAATCATTTTAAATGCAATTAAACATAAAACACTCTTTGGAATATACAGGGGTCCCTCAGACGAGGAAACCCACAGTTGCTAACAAGATCACCTCTGTTTAAATGAGCTTAATAACTCATTAAACTAAGTATGTTCAAAAGAAAATAATGGTATTAGAATAAGGGAATTGTGGGATCATAACCGGTGTCACTCTAATCAACTTTAACCCTCCCATAATGTTTAGATAGCCTTAAAACACCTGTTAAAAACTTTGAACCATAGAATCTAGAACTGTTACTTCATTGAGAAGCTTGGAGGTAACTTTGTCGACAGCAATCGGAAACAATCTACAACAACATGAGGATCTACAACAGCACATCTTTCCATAGAATTAAATAACAAGCCATAGGACTTCAAGGTTGTTTGCCTAGTGCAGTAAAAGTCCTCACTCTCTCTTTTGGGTTTTGCGCAATAACGTTGTGCAATTTAAGCCTTAACTCGTTTTAGGATTTCAAGATTGTCGTTCGTTACGACATAAATCCTCCCATCTTCCAATGTATTTATATGCTTGTGTCATGTAAATGTAAGACCTAAATAATAGTAATTGACAAGATGAAACATTTAATAATATATCTCCGAAATTGAAGCCAAACCATATGATAGTTTGGGAAGTCTCTGAGGTTCTCCTTGGAATCCATGCTAACCCCTAGTTTATCTCCCTTTGGAATCTTAAAATCAAAGTTCCAAATTTGAGTCATTTCTATTTGACACCTCTTTGTCCGATCTTTAAAAAGTCATATCCTTTTGAATTCATTGAAAACAATATTTCCTTATCTAAATTGAGAGTTTTCTTAGATGACTTCCATTATCTAAGATGAAATTAACTATAGGGGCTTGCCCTTATAGAAAAATTTATGAACCTGGTGTAATATAAACCTTGTCTAATTCTTCATTTTAGATAGAGGAACTTATCGGTCAACATAAAAAATGGCTTTTCGCAGACAAAAACGGATGTCTTAAATTCATTAGTTTATTTAATCGAGCTTCACTATCAAATAGTGTATCTATCCTTTGAGGTAGATATATTGCTTGCAATGTTGTGCTCATTCATTTAAATTGTTACAGATATGAGATCAGTTCTGTCCTGTATTTTTCAAAAATTGAAATATTATATATACTAAGTTAAATATCTTTTAAAACCGGGCATTGGGATATCTATTCCGGCGACCGCCAATTGCCAATTTGGCGACCGACAATGATTTGAATATTTCAGTTTGTAATTGTCTTGTGAACTAGACATTCTTTTTAGAAATTTATGAGTTCTGATTTTGAACTTCGTGTTTTATTTTATGTTTCAAGTTTAAGGATAAGTTTTGTTTTATCTTAGCAATTTTGAGCCTTGCGTCGAATTTTGACAAACTTTGTTTTTTATTTGGAGTTTAAATGAAGATTTATGAGGGTTAAATTATAATCTAAGTTGCCTATGACAAGTCAGACCGAAGGTAGGGGAGTAGAAACGAAAAGAACATGTATAGGACTCAATCAGAAATTGGAGAGTTCTTTGACTCACATCGAACCCTCTTTGATGAACTTCGCTTAACGCTCTTAACCTACCACACCAATTGGGGTTTCAACCCACATTAGACCCAAGATATTCTAGAACCCCTCTGTTTAAGAGAGGTTAAACAGATGGCTCCAGAATCCATAAAGATATTTCTTAAAAATATTTGATTATATTGGTAATTTTGTAATCGTATAATGTTGGGCTCATCAAAATTTTTTTTTCATCAAGATGCTAAGCATGTAATATTTAAAGATCATTTACTCTTCTAGTTTGTATCTTATGTTTTCAAATATAATTGAATTGTTTGATTAGGGCTCATTTGGACCAAGATTGGACCACTTTTTTTGTGGTGTGGTTCATGCCATCAAGATATCCTGTGTGCTTCTCTTAACAATAAGATTTTTTAAAAAATTTTAGTACACTTGTAATGTTCGAATTTTATGATGATGGCCACAATATTCTTTTTTAACCACCATGAAAAACAAATAAGTCATTTAATCTTCCAATTAAAAACATAAACTTTAAATTATGCTTCAATGGTTTGATTATGGCTCATTCGGGTCAAGATTGGATGACATTTGATATTATTGGGCTTATATCATAAGGACATTCATTTTCACTTTATATTCTTTAAGACTAGACTTCAGATGGTCCTGAGCGTCCCTCTTGTTGTCTAACTCCAATATGTAATGAAATTCGTGCTTGGTCCATAAGGCTTATTTTTTAAGTTTCATCTAGATATGTCATGCTTAACTAATTTAGCTTAATTTATTTTGGTTTCACCGTTAGAATTGGACAATTTTATCAGCATGAAAGGGCAGTGTATTAAAAATCTTTAAAATTTTATTTTTTATCGTATAATTACATTTCTATTTGTTTAATTTAGGTGCAAATTAAGATGACCTATATTAATAATCTTAACAAAATATACTCATAATTCTTTTAATAATTGTCTAAAATTGATGCAAGCAAAGAAGCTAGAGCCGATCGGAATTTGTTATCACCCTCCAGTTTAACATTGAGATTTATATTCGAGTAGATCTCACCTCCGAATGGACACAGATCATAATCAATGAAACTTTTCAAGGAAAATAAATAAAAATATAAATCCTCCTAGGCCCAACCTTGAAGTATATCGGCCCTCCTGCCACCCCTCCACTATTAAAAATAAAAATTGAAAAATTGTTGTGTAATCTCGACCTGGCAATAAAAAATTCCAACATCTCCTTATAGTGATGAGATGAGAACACACGTTTTCCTTAAAATGAAGCGGAAGATGGGAAGGTGAACCAACAATAACAGATAAATGAGAAATTTAAAACCCCATACTTCAAAGGTTAAATTAAATACGTCTTTTTATTCATCTATGTTTGATATTTAACAACCTAACTTACGACCAAAGAACACCCCCAAAGCATCATCTCGTTCTTTCGTCTCCTATAAATAGCACACGACCCTCCTTTTATATTGTCATCAACCACATAGCAGGCAAATAACAATTCTTCACTCCTATTCCTCTCCCACGGCCTCCATGGCCCACGTAAATCATTTCTTCTACCTTTTCATAGCACTCGTTTTGCTCGAAAGCTCCCTATGCCAAGGTGGACGTCTTCTCCTCGACGCAACGAATCACGAGTCGCCACCGATTCCAACGCTGCCACCACAACCAAATTCACCGTCGATTCCAACGCTGCCATCACAGCCATCTCTTCCGTCTATCCCGCAACCTACGACGTTGCCGCCGCTGCCCCCCGTACCTGCTCTTCCTAAGCTTGCTTTGCCTCCATTTCCAACCATTCCCAACATTCAACCAATATCATTCCCTCCAATTCCAGCAGGAATTCCATTCAGTATTCCCAATGTTCCATCAATCCCATCCATTCCGTCTTTTGCACCACCGCCTGCAAGCGAAAGCCCATGATAGCTGAAGCTTGAGACAAACAGCTTATTCTTTTGATTTTATTCACTTGGATACGATTACGGTGGCGTTGTTTTGGAATCCAGTATTGTGTCGGTATCTGTAAATTGTACGTGTATTTTAGTTTTTAGTTTTTCTTTGATCGCATTGTTGTGTTTGGATATTGGTGTTTCGTTCTACGTGTTGGAAATATGTTAGCTATTTTTTCTACGCATTGTATTTAGAAGATTGAAATATCGTTTGTTTGGTCACTAATTCTTATTGAGTCTCGCCCCTTCTCGAATCATATATGTGATGTTAATAAATTAAAGTGGGATTTACACAAATAGCACACATTTTTATTGCTTCGCTTAAATTTTATTATTTCCATATATATAATACTCCACTTTTTATATACTTGGGACAAAAATGATAAACTTATTAACATATTCATCATGAACTATAAAACTTAAGAAAATCCTAAATAAAAGGAAACAAACCAACGGGCCAAGACACCTGACCAAACTAAAGTATCACCAAGTAATCAAATAAAGCAAGATGAAGTTAAGTATAACATTAAATTAAAGCTTAAACAGACCATAATGAATTTAATAAGTGAATCTAAGTTAAAAGGAAGTAAATGTTGCAAAGCCGTCCAAAATTAAGGAAAATCCTAAAATCCGTCAAAACTTAAACATAAAATTAACAAAATTAACCACTATCGAAAAGGATGTCTTGGATGTTGTAACCCATGATTGCTAACAATGACTCCTCCGGCTACTTGTTACAAAGCATACCAACCTTGAGACGATAGAATGATTGGGTCTTAATCAGGGTGATCATAAAGAAAATCCAAGTAATAAAATCAAATCAATTATAAGAAAATCCTATTAAATACAATCCTAGTAAGATTCAGATTAAATAAAAAAATACTTTAAAAAAGTGAAGGTTATTAAAGGTCATAAAAAGGTAAAATAATATAGAAGTCATCAACTTAAAAAATCATAAAATGATTAAAACTTAAAATAAACCACTAATGAATATAGACAACATAATGTAACATGAACAATAATAATTCACTAAGAAAATTTACACTTTTTTTGCCGGCTCAACGTCGGTTATGATAAGAAAAATCGTCACTTTTAATATTATCGAAGATTTTAAACTCATGGGTAAAATGATTGTCAATAATTCCAAAACTGATTGCTATTCTATCGTATAAATTTATTGACGGCTATCTGATTATTTAATGTCGTAGCTTTTTTTTTCCAGAAAAATGAGTTGTGGGTAATAGTCTGTTTGTATAATTAACAGTTCTTCTGCCGGTAAGAGTGACGACATACACGTCGGAAAAGTGTCATGCTCGTTTGTTTTTTGAAGAAGCAAAACTGTCGGTTTTGCGCCATTTATGCATTGGGTTAAATGTCGGAAAATTGTCGCACCTATCAGTGTTTTGATGAAAGTAAAAAGTGTCAGTTAAGCATTGTTTTGGCATCATTATTTACAATCAATGGGTTAACTATCGAAAAAGTGTCGCACCCATCATTTTTTGTGTGACAGATCTTGAGTCATCGGTTATGTGTCGCTTAAGCGTCGGTAAAAATATCCACCAGTGAGCCGTCTGTTTTGCCTGCGGATAAGTTTGGAACCTTTGCTAAATTGATGGAAAGCCGTCAGAAACTTGTAGCATAAAAAAAATAAAAAAATTCTTTATTTTGTGTTTACATTACAACACTTACTGTCACAATAAATAATATACAATTCCAAGCATCTAATGAAATAACAAAGCTATCAAATAGTAATTTATGCAATTGAATAATGAAATAATAAAAATGCATTTACTCTAAAATGTGTACATCACCGTTCATAGAGAAAATCTATGTCCAGATGTACATAAACTTAAAAAAAGAAAAATAAACCCTCTTAATCATCCTCCTTTATCTCGTCAGCATCATCCTTATCGTCCTGTTCCACTTCCTCCTCCTCCTCCAATGCTATCGCTGTCTTGTCAAGATCGCTCATTAACAACCAAAGGAAATCCAACTCAGCCTTCAACTTGGCCACCATGTTGACCTGTAACTCCGAACACATATGAGAGAAGCGGGCTTCCATCTTGATAGAGAAATCCACAACACATATGAAGATCTCCTCATGTTGTGTGTCAGATGTAGAAGCTGCAGATGCATTGGTGGAGGGGTGAGCGTCGTAGGCAAACCCCAGAGACCCGAACACGTAGACTATACCTTTCCTTCTCTCTTTAGCAGCCTCCCTCCAGGGGCCGTACTCACTCTCACGGATTGTAATACCTTTAGATGCTTGGGATCGGCTCTCCTTTCAGCTACTGGAAACTCTCCTACAAAAAAAAAAAAATGTTTCGTTCACTTACAAGTAACATGTGTTAAAATCAAAACATTTTAGCTCATCAATTACTTGAGTAGCACGAGATTTGTTTTTGATCCACGACTGATTGGACCGCCACTTATGGGTGCACTCATGTACATTGTTGGCGGAGGGCTCTCCTCCAATCTCCACAGTCTGTCCATAAAATGAAATAGTGAGAATATATCTTCAAACTACAAAAAACCTATAGAATAAATTAAATCTTACTAGCCTCTGCTTGTATTCCATATGCGGGAGTACCCCATCAGTGTGCTTGGAGGGTATCAAGCCTCCACAATTCGACCGCCTATTTGCTTTAGCTACTCTCTCTTTTTTAGGTAGTTCATAGAATCCCAGGCCCTATGCAGCGTGGCAAAAATATGCTGGAGGCTATCATTACCATTGCACTTGAAGCTTAGTTGGATGTGTGCCTCGTGCTTAGAGCACTAGGATAATTGTTTCTACAAATATTACAGGGATTATGCTCAATTTTAAAATAAATAAAAACAACTTAAGTTGTTTGTGAATGATACAACAAACGTTTGAAAAAATTAAGCTTGAATGGTGATCTACCTTAAAATTACTTGTTTTGGTGTATATTTTATGATCATTTTATGCATATTTTTAATGATATTGCACTTTAAAAAAGTATATTTTGTATGTTTTTTTGGTTTCAGATACATCGAATGAACATTTAGAAAAAAGGAGAAAAGATGAGCAAAAATGGTGCATTTTATATGGTGCCACAGCGCCGCTCCCTAGCGCTATAGCGCCACATACAAGCGTAATGGGCACTATAGCGCCCAGACTGGCGCTATAGTGTCAGTAACTAACCTTCTAGAAGATTCAATGAATTTGGCCGAATTTTGAAGAGGTTTTTGAAGAAATCCTTGATTATTTTCATAGCTCTATTAATAGGGACGAAATTGCGATGAAAGAGATGCCTTTTTGGAAGCATTTGAAGGCTTTAGAAAGTTCTATTTTTGTGTTTAAGTGTGATTTTAAGTGTATTTTGTGTTTATAAGAGTAAGATTTTGGAGAAATCTTTAAGGAGACTCCAAAATTTGTGTTGGGGAGAAGACATTAGGTACTTTGTAATTGTGTTTAAGTTTTTTTTTTTTTGTATCTAAGAATTAGATTTTAATACAAATTATGTGCTTTTGTTTATTCTCCATGAATTTTAAGTATTTCCCTTTTTTTCTTCTTACATTTAGAAATTAATCTTGTGCGATGAGCATGATTTAAGTATTTCTTTTTACTTTAAAAAATTGTGAAGACATTTTTACTCATTCTTCATTGAATTTATAAATTGGTCGTCACACTTAATTCTGGGCAGAGCCGTTGCGATCACTTATGGGGGAGTGCAAATATATAGGGAGATAAATTTTGATGACCGTAGAATTGACGTTTCTAGGATGACAGACTAGATCCTTTTTTATTATTTTGTCTTAGAGTTTAGATCGTAAGGGTCCCTAGTAAATCCTATAGAGAGGGCACAGTTGGTAAAATGGAGATGCCAAAATCTACCTAGCATTACTACACAAACTCTAAATTAGCCAATTTTCTTTGCTAGCACCGGAAGGGAGTAAAGAATAGCAATGCTCTTATTTGTCACATGACATCATCATATTTTTAGTCATTCAAATCCTAAACATATTAATATCTCTTTGCAAGGGGATAGATCTTTTCATAATATTTAAACTCATTAAATTTACATTGTTTAACTGTTAATCTTAGTCGTTTCTTTCTGCTTTAATTTAGTCTTAACCATTGCAATCATATCAACATAGTTCAACTTTTATTTTATCTGCAATTTAGATAGAATTTTACAAGTCTAATTTAAAAAAGTCAACTTTCCTCGTAGGATCAATACTGGGTTTTTAAATAAAATTCTATACTAATTGAAATGATATGTATACTTATGTAGTACCTCTAGTGTGATATTTTAATATTTATTTTCTATATCATTTCATTTATTCACACTAGCTGCTAAATATAAATTGAGACATGGTTTGGACAATATTTTAGAGGCTAAAAATACACGGAATTTAGTCCGGGTTAAGTTTTTGGTGCCATTGCCGAGGAAAGTAACACAATTTTTTTAAATTAGGAAAGTAATAAAACTTTTTAAATTGGAATTTTCTTTGAATTGTAGATTTTATTTTAGTAAAATTAAAAAATAAAAAAACCCAAAATAATTATAAAAAATCCAAAAATTAAAAAATCTATTTTATTTCTGTTGTGTTATTTGTATTTTCTGAATTTTTTATCATTTGTATGCATAGTTTGGGATTTGAAGGTTTAGTGCCTACGATTCTGAATTACAATGTACTATAAGAAAAATTCAAAAATAAGGAAGACTTCATAATTTTTAAGATATAACAAACACTTCAAAAAATAATTTCGAGATTCAAAATGTAGAAAATGAACATCATAACTGATAGCGACTTTATATATGCTTAAAAAATACAAGAATTTGATACCGCTGCTAGAAGATTTAAATCCCCGGCAACGACGCCAAAAACTTGATGCAACTTTTAATATGCAAGAATTTATAAACCCAAATTTATATATTTATAATGATTTTGTAAAGTCACAATTTCAAACGCAAGTATACGTATCACTCAAGTAATACTGGGCTCTAG